TTGCAGATGGCAATATGCTGCCCCTCAAGCCAAGACACTCTTACAACGCCTTGCTTCTGCTACTGCCCCCAAAACTCAATTTTCCTAATCTCAAATGATGTTCTTCATGCAGACCCGTATCTCAATTGCCCTTGTGAAAGCTACCCATTTATGTCTCCGTGGCTCCCGCAAAGCCAAACCCTTTGCCCCCCGTAATGGTCCTCAATTTCTTGCCCCTGATCCCACAGAACCTAGTCCTGAATTTCGACTGTTCTTTGCTTAAGCCTGGCCCCGGCTGGCTTCCGTAGATAATTTCCCTACTCTAAAACCCCCCTTATTATCGAATCACAATCGTGATTAGGGCAGGAAGGTTCGGCCTGAGGCCAGACGCTGGATCTTTTCACGCACCGCTGGCCATCACGAGTGCTTGAGTGCTTTACTGGCCATCACAAGTGCTTTACAGACTATGCTTCAGCTGGCTCGAGTTTCCCGCCCATAGAAGGCTAGTGTTGTTGTTGTCATTGTCATTGGTGGTAGACAAGCTCGAGCATAAAATAGAATCGAATCAGTTCACAATACCAGCCAGCTATTCCAATACCATTTCCAGTGAATTTAGTTTTTTGCCGAGACCAGAAATAATGGCATCCAAGAAGAACAAGAAGGTCCGCCAGAAGCATCAACACCAACACCAACACCATCTCCCAAAGTGTCAACACCGTCAAAATTCCCAGCATGAAAAAGCACCAAGGAATGAAGTACCGCCTGTCATGCTCCGTGATCATGACAACCAGGCCGGGAATCGTACCAATGGTGTTTCGAACAAAGTCATGGGAAAAGAGACGGTGGTGTATGTGGACCAGTTCGATACATTGGGAATTTTGGAGGCAGCTCCCAGCCAGCTTCAAGCTTTGGTCCCAGCTTCTTGAGTTTCCCCAGCTTGTAGCTGTTGTCCCAGCTTAATGCTGTTGTTCCAGCTTTGTCTTTTTCCCAGCTTGGAGCTGTTGTCCCAGCTTGGCAGCTCCCAGCTTGAAGCTTTTGTCCCAGCTTTGAGTTTTGTCCCAGCTTGGAGGTGTTGTCCCAGCTTGAAGCTGTTGTTTTAGATTGGAGGTGTTGTCCCAGCTTGGCAGCTCCCAATTTGAAACTTTTGTCCCAGCTTCTTGAGTTTTTTCACAGCTTCGAGTTTTTTTCTTCAGCTTGGCAGCTCCCAGCTTGAAGCTTTTGTCTCAGCTTCCAGCTTTTGTCCCAGTTTGGAGCTTTCATCATCACACCCTCGGAGCTTTCGTCCTACAGCTCCCAGCTTAATTAAAGCTTTTGAAGTGCTACCCTGCTACTAGTAATAGCAAGCAAATAGACGGGCTGCAAGAGTTGATGCTGTCACATCTAAGAAGGGCATAATAGGGTAGCGCCAAACGGCGAGGTCAGTTGATGGTGTGGTTACCGATCTGCAAGCAAGGTTACCAGTCGATGGAGTAAGAGTATCAAACAGAGACCTAGCAATGCTATTGAATCGACATGGTTTCTACTAGTGTAATGGGTATGGTCTATAATGCAATCGTATAGTCTATTTGGTTGGTAATCGGTGTTCTATTATCTTACCAGCTCACCACATCTATCGTACGAACCACCAAGTCGTCTCATCGACTAAGCCAAATCCTTGAAACTGACTTGTGCATACAGGAATATGAGTACCGACACAGACAGGAATTACCACCAAATCACTAGGAAATAACACTGGAGGGATGAATCCAATGGGAGGATCCACTCTCTTGTGTGTTGTCGTCGCCTTCTCTTGTTGCCTCTTCAATGACTCGACCACGTTTGTTCATGCTGTTGGTAGGGCTGGAGTTAATAGAGCCTCCTCCTCCGTAGCAGTAGCCTCTCATCTTGTTATCCGTAGCGATCGATCATTCGAAAAGGACTCGACGCAATGGTAGTTCATCGGCCGTCGGCAGTGCAGCAGAGAAAACAACAAATAGATATGAGTTTTGTTTTCTGTGCTCAACTGCAGAAAACCGGCGACTTACCCTTGCTTTTCAAATTGCACCAGCTTGGCCATAATGGGCTCCTTCAATGACACTCTTGATAATAAGCTTACCTCAAATCGAACCGATCGATCGCTCCAACTAAGGCCGATTGGATAAGCACTCACCATTGTTGTTGGCCAAGCTTAGATTTCTCTCCTGTTTACCATATGAATGCAATGAGGGAGAGAAGTCAGTGCTGCGCCTTCAATAATAGACGTGATAATAGACTTACCTCTCGTAATAGCCCTAGTAGTAGCGATCGGCCGCTCCTCCTCCACCATTGTGCTGTTCTTGTCGTTGCTCCTGTGTTCGATCGAGTGAGGAGTGGGGCTCCTTTCGAAGAAGAGGCAGCCGGGCAGGCTGTTCCGTGAAGCCTGTTTGAATATTTTAGTGTGTACAGAGAGTACTCTCCAACGATTCTTCCAAAAACAGCTTGCCCTCCTTATAAATCCAAGTCGCCCTTACGGAACAGAAGCAGCCCACCGCACATCAATCAAGGGCTTATTATAATCAGATAGATGCTTCACCTTGTTCAGTCAAAGAATCCACATTATGTCTTCCTAGCTTTTAAAGGAAACGGGTATTAAATCAATGAGTTCCCTTGGTACTTTTCAAACCATAACCAACAGTTATGGTTTAAAGTAGGCAGTAGTATTTCGCTTTCACCCAATCCGTACTAAATACTAGTGCATGCTTTAACCCACTGAAATGGCTTCAAGAAGGTCTCTTAATTGCAGAATCAGCTTTTGTACTCTTTGACCCTATTCAAAAGAGCCAAAGTAAATTGCACGAGCCACCCCCAGACCCCCTTCTATGTTTAAATCGTGAGGTGACCTCACGAATCAACAAGACAGATTGCAAATAATTGTGGTGTGACTCGACTGTCACTCGCTCGTGCCATGGTCGTCCGTCTGTGGCCAGTTTTTTTAGCAGCGTAGCAGCAGCTCATTGATCATTGATAGTTGCCTGCCATGGTCATGACAGCGGTGTCAAGGAAGTCATATTGGCTACACCAATGGTGTTTGTTACAAAGAAGAAGCGCAAGGACAACAGGTCTTGTTGCTGTCCTCGATGGATGATCATCGCGGCGTACGTGATCATAGCAGTATCTTTGTTGTGACATTATTTGGTGTTGCGGTTACATCATGATCGCGACATTAGCGACGCTTCTCATCCGAATCAGCTTGGCACCTTGCACGCATCAGAGCTTGTCCAGCTCTCGTCACAGGCCTTGGTTGAAGGGAACAATCCAAACTGCATGAGGGAAACATGGATTGCCACTAGTGCACTGGTCAGTCCTGAGGACATCCAAGCATTTAGAGAATTCCGTTTGGATTGGCACAATCTCATTCCCAGGGGCATTGAGTCGCCGGAAAAGCGAGCAGCCACAGAAACCGAAGTGACGAAAGACGAAAGCACTGTGTGTCTGGGGCGTCAATGATTGCGAACGGAGGCCGATGTGCAGTACGATGTAGACATGGGATGACACAAAAGAATAAGCTAAAAATTAAAAGGGGATTCTACGTCTACCTCGTTCTAGCGAGTCCCGGGAGGTTCACCTCGTGATTGCCAACCACCAGCTGGTTTTGGCTCCTCTCGCACTCCCTCTTGAACCGAACGGGGTAGCAAATTTTGTACCGTAGTCCTCTTTGCTGCACAACGATGTCAAACTCTAAACAAACACAAACATGCAATGTAGTGGTAGTGGCTCCATCTCTTGTATTTTCGTAGATCAACCTCGTCCTCGTTTAATTCTCGCTCTCGTGCTCGTCCTCGTCTTCGTCCTGCTCCTCTTCTTCATCATTGTCGTCGTCAACTTCAATGAATGGCTGCTCAGGGTCGTTCCATTCATAGTCATTCTCCGAGGCGGCGTAGCACGTCCCGTCCTCCTGGGAGAGCACCTTGCGCTGTTCTTCAATGGTGAGACCCCAAAGTTGAACTCCCGTGCGCATGAAATGCTGGAGACAAGTTCGACGTTTCGTGACAGAAGGGATACGAGTCTTGTACACAGTGTCTTTCATGAAAGCCACTAGCTTGGAAATGAGCGCGGAGCGACCTCCAATTTTGGTCTCGATGTCGAGTCCGCTCAGACCACGATCTTCGACCTGGTGGGTTGTAAGGAAGTCCGTGAACCAACGCTTCCCGACCATCTCGACTGTGAGGTTGCGACTGCTATCTTGAGCTGGACGGCATCGAACTAGAACAACAGGCTTGTCGGTATCGAGCTTCGAGCTGTCATTCCCGGCAGGCTTGCTTTCATGTTGTTGATCGCGACAGGCAGTTCAGCTT